TTTTTATTAGATTCCTTAAGGCTTTTGCCTCAGTGAAGTCTTACTATTTAGAAGGGAAGGATTAAAATGTGTCCTTCGCATGGATACATGTAGCTGGACCATTAATAAGATAAGAAAGGAAAAGAATGCATTGTTGAGGCCAGCAGGCTACCTGATGTACAAGGAGTTAGGAAGCAGCTCAGAGTACCAAGTCTTTAGCTGGCATGGTAAGCCAAGGCTCAGAGACCTTCATAGGGTGTCCTGTGTGAAGGCCACTGTTGGGGATGGCATATTTTCTTAGAGGCCAGGTAGTGTAAGAATGATATTTTATAGGTGATCGTTGTAGCTATTTGATTTTCTCTCTAAAAAGATTAGTTGAGAAATTTTGAGACCACAATAAACTGGTTTCTAATGTTTGCCGAAACACATGGGGCATTAGATATTGCTTTGGAAATGGATTGCCGTATAAGTAGCATATCTTGATTTCATCAATAATATAAACTTAGCTTCATGAAAATCACCAGTTGTTATTTTTCTGACTTCCCCAAAGACTAGTGAAAACATCTTCACGGACTGGAACAATTGGGTTAGATGCTAATACAATGAGGTAGACTCTTAGCTGGCTGAAAACCATACCCAGAGAATGTTGATGCTGTCCTGAAGGGGAGAGTTCCAGGCCAAGAGTTTGGACCATCTCATGTGGCAAAGGGCACCTTTGCAGGTTTGGAAGCCTCAGGGGGAGAGGAGAGGCAGGAAGGAGGAAGGCAGAAAAAGGCCATGTGGGTCTGGGTGAGAAGTGTCAGAGGGTTAACGATGACTCTAAGCAAGAAGGAAATGCTTAGAGAAAAGGCTTTAATGCTCTAGGGGGCTTTGTTCTGGGACAGAGAAGGAGAATGAATTCTCGGAACTCCTCTCTCTCTTGGTTCCTTCCAGTGAAGGTCAGATCGAGACAGGAAGGAGTCAACTTGCTGTACCTAAGACTTTATTGTGGAATATATTTTTCCATCCTCTGTGGTTAGTGACTGTACCCTACTTAGAAGGAAAAAACCATACCTCAGTCCAAGGTTTCTCTGCTGTTTTAGAGATGCATTGTCTTTGATTTTACTCTTTTTTTCCCTTCAGGCTGCTTGATAGGGGCGGTGAATCTCAAGTCTAGCAACAGAAACCCAGTGGTACAGGAATTTGAAAGTAAGTACAAGGGAGATACAATGAGGATACTGGGCACCATCTAGTGGACATTTGGTGGTCTTGCCGCCACCACAGGACACTGCTGTGTTGTGCCCAGGAGGTCCTGGGGTGGCTACTCAGCAGGGAGTGTCCCATCCGCAGGCTAACAGAGAACTCTGTGCGGGGGCGGTGGGGGGCGGGAGTTGGGGGGGTTTCTGTCGGCTGACATCTGATTCCTGCCTGGCTTTGCGATTACACAGTAAGGGAGTTTCTCATGCGCAAGCAGAGTGTTTAAGGGAATTTTACTAGAATTTCCCTTCCAGTAAAATTCTTGCTATTGTCTCTATTGTTTTTCTGGTGAAAACTCATCTTTTCTCAAAGTCCCCTGGAACTTGGAGCTGGCTAGGTTTTAACCTGCATGAAAGGGCGCTCTGAAACTAGAGCTAGCTTGCAGGCTCTGGGTGTAGAGTGAGCCTAGAAGCATTCCACATTCACTGAGAGTTCTTTTCTTTTTTTGCTCATTAGGTGTGGAACTGTCTTGTATCATTACGGATTCACAGACAAATGACCCTAGGATTGAATGGAAGAAAATTCAAGATGACCAAACCACATATGTGTTCTTTGACAACAAAATTCAGGGTATGATCCTGTAGTCCTCTCTCCTTTGTCCACAGGCCCGGGCATGCACTTTTGGCCAGAAATTTACCTCAGACTGGTAACCTGCATCTGTACCCGGAACCGGCTTTTTCAAAATTTATTATTATGGAAAATTTTGCACATATGCAAAAATAGTGAGAATAGTATATTGAGCCTTCCTGTACCTGTCACCCAGCCTCCACAAATATGAATTTGTTGAGCAGGATTTTAATCTTTCCACAACCCATCTTTTTAAGGAATCAAAATGAACATTTTCCTGGGCCGTCTTCTCATCATGATCCCTGACATGTGTGATGTAAGTGAGTTAATTCGAAGGATTGTGTGTAGCGGCAATGAGACAATGGCTTTACTGAGCCACCCACTGTGCCCCTGGCTTGTGCTGGGGATACCCCACGGGGAGAAAGCACAGGGTGCCAGGTGACACCAGGTCGGGTGAGGACGGTGGTCAGTGAAGGCTCTCCAGAGGCGGCCTCCGGGCTGCGGAGTGCAGGGTGGCTGGTTAGCCAGGCAAGACTGCAAGGGCGGTTGTGGAGGCAGGTGGTGGGGCAGGAGAGACCGCTTGTGTGAAGGTGCAGAAGCAGCAGCCTGGTGCTGGGGGAGAGGCCGCATGTTCCCGACCACAGCTGGGGCGTGGACGGAGGGGGAGATGAGGCTGGGGAGGTCGCCCGGCCAGGCAGCAGCTCTGGATGCCAGGCAAGCATGGGCGATATCTGAAGGCCCACTGAGAGGTTCTGAGAGGAGGTTCCCTGGCCACATCTGCGCTTCAGAAGATCGAAATGGCTGCTTTGCAGAGAGAGATTGGAGATGGCAGAACTCAGAGCAGACGTGCCAAGTCAGAGTTCTTTTGCAGAGTCCAGGAGGAGCTGAGGTGGCCTGAGCGGAGGTGGAAGCCATGGAGAGAGACTCAGGGTAGCAGTGCTAGGACTTGGCTTTGATGAGCCTGACATATGGCCGGGAGTGGGAGGACATTGCCTCCTGACAGGAGGGGAGGAGTAAGCAGGTAGAAATGCAGGTGCGTTCATAGGTTTTCAGAGAAGTTGAGAGTTGAGAAAGATTCTGTGATTTAGCTCAAACTACGGCCTTTCTGCTTGGGTTTTCAACATCATCAGGAGTCATAGGCTCTTAAAAATAGTTGTGTTTTCCCACGAACATGAAGTCCCTCCTTCACCTATTGTTTTTGAAGAGATGGAAATGTTATTCTCAGAAAACAAATCAGTTTCCTTTGGCCACTTAGACTGACCCTGCTAAACCCTGTACGTTCAGTTTAGATCACCCGAGAAACCAAGGGAGAAATTCATTAAAGAACTTTCTTTTTCTGGGGATTAAACGTCTTACTCTTAGTTATAGGGACGAGGCGTACAAGGGATAGTATAATATTCACGACACAGAATATGAGGGCTAGAGGGAAACTTGAATCTGCTTGGTCTCTTCTCTTGCCTCAACGCAGGACTGTACTGAAGCACTCTGGTAAATCTTTATGTACTATTTTTCCCATGGTAGTTCTAATCCTCTACTAATGGTAACTGTGTAACAAACCTTTTTATTTAAAAAAGTCATTGAAAATGTTCACTTTCTATTATATAAGCATCTTCTTCTTTTTGTTATATTATGATAAATCCTTCATATACTTGTCACCAGTTGTCAGGTTTAGTAATAGTTTCTACTTTTTTGTGTCATTTTTTCCCTAACTCCCTAACTTCCCTTCCTCTATTTGTTTTCCAGGTTTTTCATGCTTTGCTGAAAGATTATGTCTGTTTATGCTTTAAAATTTTTTTTCTAATTCATCTAGCACAATTACTACTCTTTAAGTATAAAATTCAGTGGCTTTTAGTATATTAACATAGTTGTGCAAGCATCACTACTATCAAATTCCAGAACATTTTCATCAGCCCCAAAAGAAACCCATACCCATTAACAGTCAATCCCCTTCCCTCCAACCCTGGCAGCCCTTAATCTATAAGACGTTCTGTCTCTGCCGAGTTGCTTGTTTCGGACACTTCATGTAAATGGAAGCTTACAATCTTTTGTGGCCGACTTCTTTCTCTTAGCGTAATGTTTTCAAAGTTCGTCCATGTTGTACCATATGTCACTACTTCATTCCTTTTTATGGCTGAATAATATTGAATTGTAGATATGCCATGTTATTTTATCCCTTCATCCGTTGTTGTACATTTGGGTCATTTCCACTTTTTGGCTGTAATCAATAATGCTGCTACAAATATTTGTGCATGGGTTTTTGTGTGAACATAAGTTTTTGTTTCTCTGGGATAAATGACCAAGAGTACAATTGCTGGGTCTTATGTTAGTTGCATGTTTAATTTTTTAAGAAACTGACGAACTGTTTTCCAAAGCTGTTTCACCATTTTACACTCCCACCAGCAACGCCTTGCCCCACATCCTTCCAGCACTTGATATTGTCTGACTGTTTGAATCTAGCCATCCCAGTGGCTATGAAGTGATAGCTCAGGTTGTGATTTGCATTTCCCTGATGACTAGTGATGCCGAGCATCTTTAAATGTGCTTATTGATCACCTGTATTATTTTCTTTGGAAATATGTTCATTCAAATCTTATGTCTCTTTTTAAATTAGGTTATATATCTATTTATTATTGAGCTGTAAACTCTCTCTATATTCTGGATACGAGTCCTTTGTGAAGTATGTGACTTGCAAATATTTTCTCCCATTCTGTGGATTGTCTTTTCACCCACTTTTGTCCTTCAGAGCACAATGTTTTTAATTTTTCTGACGTCTAATATAATAATTTTTTTGTGTACTTGTGCTTTTGGTGTCATAGCTTTAAAAACCCTTGCCTAATCCAAGGTCATGTAGGATTTATGCTTATGTTTTTTTCTAAGAGTTTTACAGTTTTAACTCTTATGGTGGGTCTTTGCTGTGTGTGGAGTGAGGTAGAGGGCAAACTTGATTCATTTGCATGTGGATATCTAGTTGTCCCAGCATCATTTGTGAAATGTCAGTTGTTTTTCTAATGTTGTTTGTTTTGTTTTTCTTTTAATGGGGACTCCCTCCTGGACACGATGAGATGAGGTTCCTGACTTTAACAGCAGAGACGCATATAATGAGTGTCTCTTACACACCAGGGACTATATTTGGTGCTCAGGTTACAAACAGGAATAAGTTATGGTTCCAGTCCTCTGGGAGTTCTCTTCTGTTATATGGAAACAAACAGAAACCAATGTGCAATCTTCTTACCATGGCCTCAAATTCTGGCCCCAGAAATCACCTTCTTCAAGTGGTAAAGATAATTGTAAAGGAGTTTTTTTTTTTTGTTTGTTTGTTTGTTTTTGAGACAGAGTCTCACTCTGTTGCCCAGGCTAGAGTGCCATGGCATCAGCCTAGCTCATAGCAACCTCAAACTCCTGGGCTCAGGAGATCCTCTTGCCTCAGCCTCCTGAGTAGCTGGGACTACAGGTTCGAGCCACCATGCCTGGCTAATTTTTTCTATTTTTCGTTGCCCAGCTAATTTTTTTTTTCCTATTTTTGTAGAGACGGGGTCTCATTCTTGCTCAGGCTGATCTTGAACTCCTGAGTTCAAGCAATCCTCCCACCTTGGCCTCCCAGAGTACTAGATTATAGGCATGAGCCACTGTGCCCGGCCTCTGTAAAGGAGTTTTTAGAGCCCCTTGTCTTCTGTCCCATAGGAGACTTGGCAGGTCGTGCAGAACTACTGGGGAAAACTTCCCTGAAGATCTGGAATGTGACGCGGACAGACTCAGCCCTTTATCGCTGTGAGGTTGTTGCTCGAAACGACCGCAAAGAAATCGATGAGATTGTCATTGAGTTAACTGTGCAAGGTAGGAAGTCATGTGAAAGTAAAACACTTTTGCCCCTTTTAGGTCTCATGAGTCTCTGTCTAGAGAATAAAGGAGATCCATTCGTATTTTGATTTCTTGCCTTCCAGAGCTGCATCCCTGAGGGTAGCACGTGACTTGGGGAGGGGAGAACTGCAGAAATCTGAGACTGCCGAGTTGGGGTAGAAGGTGAGGGGGAAGTGGAGCTTCTGCCACTTTCCTCCACCATCTGGAGGAGGTGCTTTAACGTGCTTCCTGTCTCTTCCTCAGCTCCCACCTGAAGGTGGAAGGAGTTAGAAGGGCCTATGGGGTCACAGTTGGGGTGGGATGAGCTGGGAGTGCAGGGTGCAGTGAGGCACAGCAGTCTGCAGATGTGGTCTTGGGGACTGCAGTGGTGTGAGAGCCTTTGGCTGGCTTTCTTGTCTTCAGAGCTGAGTTCTTGTGGGCTTTGATAAAAATAGAGCCGTGTTCCTGAGATCTTAAATACCAAACCCTGTTTTCCTACAGTGAAGCCAGTAACCCCTGTCTGCAGAGTACCGAAGGCTGTACCCGTGGGCAAGACAGCAACGCTGCACTGCCAGGAGAGCGAGGGCTACCCCCGGCCTCACTACAGCTGGTATCGCAATGATGTGCCACTGCCAACAGATTCCAGAGCCAATCCCAGATTTCGAAATTCCTCGTTTCTCTTAAACTCTGAAACAGGCACTCTGGTAAGATCTCTTCTAAGAGGTGAGGATGGAGATGTCTTTGTTAGGGCAAGGGATGCTTACTGTGGAAAGAACAGTTATTAAGAGAGATGGTGCAACTATTTTATAAGACAGAAGCTAGAAGTTCAGAATGTTGGGGATTCTAGAGGAAAAATGACTTCCTCCTTTTGTAAACAAGTAAATTCTAAGGGAGTAAAATAAAGGAGGAGAAACCTGTAGACTAAACGAGACTGGGGAGGGATATTAATATCAGACAAATGTTGTGGGTGGATGAGGGTCCCGATTTGGATAATCAACTATAAAAATCATTATGAGACAATCAGGGAAATTTGATTACTACCTGGATATTTGATGATATTAAGCAACTGTTAATTGTTTTAGGCATGATAATGGCATTGTTGTTATGGTTTTTAAAAGTCCTTACCTTCTAGAGATTCACACTGAAGTATTTGTGGATAAAATATGTCTGGAATTTGTTTCAAAATAACCCAATGGTGGTGGAAGGAGAGGAAAGAGATTGGTCATGCACTAGAGCTGCTGTCCCCAAGCCCCGGGCCACAGACCGCTACCCTTCCATGGCCTGTTAGGAACAGGACCGCACAGCGGAAGGGCGAGCGAGTGAAGCTCCATCTGTATTTACAGCTGCTCCCCATCGCTGGCATGACCGCCTGAGCTCCGCCTCCCGTCAGACCAGAGGCAGCATTAGATTCTCATAGGAGCGCGAACCCTGCTGTAAACTGCACGTGCGAGGGATCCAGCTTGCGCGCTCCTTAGGAGAATCTAATGCCCGATGATCTGAGGCGGTGATGCTAGTGCTGGGGAGCGGCTGCAAATACAGATCATCATTAGCGGAGAGGTTTGACTGCACAGAGACCGTAATAAATCTCTTGTAGATGCGTATCAAAACCCTCTCAGCGAGTGTAGGCTGCATCTGGTGGCAGGCTTTATAGTGGCAAGTGAGCATCCTTTTCAATTGTACGGCTGCGTCTGGTGGCCAGCTTTAAGTCAGAATCCGACACTTGTTTTAGTCTGTGTGTGGCCCGTCCGTGCCTCTTTCCCCGCACTGCATTTGTCTCGGTCGCACACAAGCTTACCTAGCAAAAATGAGTGAAAAACAAATGTTGCTGGGGAGCTTTGAAAAGGGGGAAAGAGCCAGTGATGAGACAGCAGAAGACTCTAAGATGGCCAACAAAATGAAAGCTGCATTTAAAAGAAAATCCCAAGAGTCCTACTTAAATTACGGGTCCATTGCAACAGGTGATTCACATTCTCCAAGCCTGCTTTGTATGATATATGGCGACCGGCTATCCGATGAAGCCATGAAACCTTCAAAACTGCTTCACCATGTGGAGACCAAGCACCCTGCATTAAAAGACAAGCCTTTGGAGTTTCTCAAAAAAAAAAAACCCACCAAAAACGTGAACATGAAGAGCAGACGCAATTATCGAAGGCCACCGCTTCATCAGCTGTGTCTGCACTGGGGGCATCATTCTTAGTAGCTCATCACGTTGCTAAAGCCTGGAAGCCCTTTACTGCTGGCGAAGAGTTGATCCTGCCTGCTGCTAAGGACATTCGCCGTGAACTTTTAGGAGAGGCTGCAGTTCAAATGTGGCATGTGTTCCTCTTTTGACTAGCACCATAACTAGACAAACTGATGAAATAGCAGAGGATATTGAGGCACAATTGTTAGGATTTTAATGAGTCACCGTGGTACTCAGTCTGGGTTGACGAGTCTACCGATGTGGACAGCAAGGCAACAATGCTTGTTTTTGTGCAATATATTTTTCAGGAGGATGTGCATGAGGATATGTTCTGTGCACTTTTGTGGCCAGCCAATACCACAGCCACAGAGCTATTAAAGTCTTCGAATGATTACATATCAGGAAAACTGAATTGGTCATTTTGTGTCAGTCTGTGCGCGGACAGAGCAGCTGCCATGACCGGACGGCTTTCCGGTTTCACTCCTCAGGTCAAGGAGGTCACTTCTGAATGTGAGTCTGTGCACTGTGTTGATAGAGAAATGCTGGCTAGCTGAAAAATGTCACCTGAACTAAACATTTTGCAGGATGTGATTAAAATTATCAATCACATTAAAGTTCCTGCCCTTAATTCACGCAGCTCTGTGAGGAGACGGATGTAGAGCACACGTCTTCTCTTATACACAGAAGTGAGATGCTTTCTAAAGGCAGATCGCTGGCCAGAGTTTTTGAGTTATGAGAGCCGTTCCAGAGATTTCTTTTAGAAAAACAGTCACCGCTGGCAGCACATTTCAGTGACATAGAATGGGTCGCAAAACTTGCTCATTGTGTGACACATTCAACCTGCTTGACAACTCAGTCTGTCACTTCAGGGGGAGAACAACAACTGTGTTCAAGTCAGCAGATAAAGTGGCTGCATTCAAAGCCAAACTGGAATCATGGGAGTGACAAGTGAACTTTGGGATTTTCGACATGTTTCAAACATTAGCAAAGGTTTTGAAAGAGACTGGCCAGGGCCTTCTTTCTCCCAGCTGGTGCATGATCACCTATCTCAATTTCAAAAGACCCTGGGCCTTACTTCCCAACCACAAAAGACCCCCAAACTGGGAAGGAGTGGATCCTCGACCCATTTATGAATGAGCGAGGTGAATCGACTTTGTGCGAGAAGAGGATCAACTGTTTGAGATCACAAATGACAGTGGCCTTAAAAGTATATTTGAGACAACTTCAAATCTCCACAGGTTCTGGATTAAAGTCAAGGTGGAATATCCTAAAATTGCCATAAAAGCACCGAAAAGCCTGCTTCCATTTCCAACATCCTGTCTTTGTGAAGCAGGGTTTTCTGTGGTGACAGCAGCCAAAACGAGATTACAAAGTAGACTGGACATAAGCAACACACTTCGGGTGACACTGTCTCCCATCACCCCCTGATGGGATCATCTAATTGCAGGAAAACAAGCTCAGGGCTCCCACTGATTCTGCATTATGGTGAGTTGTATAATTATTTCGTTACATAGTACAACCTAACATATATTAATAATAATAGAAATAAAGTACACAATAAATGTAATGTGCTTCAATCATCCTGAAACACCTCCCCTATTCCCACCCCCACCTCTTCCATGAAACTGGTCCCTGGTGCCAAAAAGGTTGGGGACCGTGCTAGAGGACAGACTGACCACACAGCAGACTACACCAGGCTTTCACTGTGTAGAGTTCTCTTTTGGGAGGTGCTTTTTGGTCTGTGGAATATCCAACTACTTGTAGCCACCAGGTGAACTGCAGTAGGATCTTCTGTTATTGTTTTGCCAAAATGTTGCCTGAGGAGCAGCTATTATCAGAGAGTCCCTTTACTGGAATAAGTGCGAAGTTCTGCCTCTCATTCTGGATGTTGCTAGGCTTGGGTATCTTCAGATACCAAGGGGATCTCATCGTTGGGGAGCTCTTAGGCAAGAGTGTCAGGAAAGCACATCAGGAAGGGACCTGCACGGCGCCTGGGAAACCGCAAACACGCAGGCCTCGACCACGTTCTGGACTCAGAAGGATCTCGCGGGGCGACCTTGCTCTCCCGTCCCCTCAGAGGTCTGCCCGGTTGACCGGTCTAACTATTTACTTGTTCCCTGAAACAGGTTTTCAATGCTGTTCACAAGGAGGACTCAGGGCAGTATTACTGTATTGCTTCCAATGACGCGGGCTCAGCCAGGTGTGAGGAGCAGGAAATGGAAGTCTGTGAGTTACTTTTTGAAAAGATTTCATCTGAAGACTGGGAAATGAATAGAGCATTTTAAATTTAATATTACACTATCAGTTTAGACAACTGTTCTGCCATGGGTCAGCTTTTTTCTGGAGCTGACAGGATCCACCAAAACCACTGGACACTGAAGGAATGGATGAGAACCCTCTGAGTCTAAATAAGTGGGTTCTCACAACAGACTTTTTAGGGCCTTCTGCTGTTAGGAACATTGCCAGTCATGTAACTTCCATGGCAAGTTTAACAAACTCCATTTCTTTGGTAATCGATAGAATTATCAAAACTTAAGGTGGCGTGTGAGATCGCTAGAAATACATCCAGTTATAACCATTTTGCAGAAAACTGAAAGTGCTTTAGCCTTGGTATTTTTACCCTGTTCTGTGATATTTATTATCTCTAGGGTACTGGTTCTAAAGGGGAGGCGCTGAGGGGAGGATGGGGGCGGATAGGATGTGTCCCCGTCACCTGTTTGAACCCATCCTTCCTATTTGTAGCTACCCCCAGAGCAGTGTTTTCCAAAATGGCCTCATACAGCTGGGCATGGTAGCTCTTGCCTGTAATCCCAGCTACTTTGGAGGCTGAGGTAGGAGGATTGCTTGAGGCCAGGAGTTCACGTCCAGCCTGGGCAACAGCAACACCCCATTTGGGACCATTTGGGACACTGTTCCACGTGCAGATTCCAGGGCCCACTGAGACGTGTGCTAGACATGCGTGTGTGAAGCAAGCTGCAGTGATTCTTCCCATCTGTCAATCTTGAAAAACTCTGCTCTAGGGTTGTTTTCTCTTGAAGGTTTTTTTTTGCCATAGACCTATTGAATCTTTAGTAATGAAGCTTGGGAACTGACATTTTAAAAACCAAAATTTCAAGTTGATTTTTGAGCGCCCACTCACATTTGAGAACCAGTTCAGTAGGATAAGGGAGAACTTTAACAACTTTCAAGTTAGTTGGCTTTTGTCGATAAACTCCCTGCATATTTTCCCATGCATCTTTATTGGCGTAGAGGAAACAGCTGCCAATGCCCCCGCACTGAAGGTGACCAAGTGCCATTGCACAGTAGGTAGAAATGAAAAAAGGAAATCCAGGGAGTTCCTTACAGATAGGAGGCCAGGTGGCCGGTGGGGGAAAGGTCACATTCTTACCTACTGTTTTTTACTTTTAAATAAAGCTTGAAACTAGCTTTCTTCCCCCAAATAATCCACAACAAAGGAAGGCCTTGGAAGTTTAGGATTTATTTTTTCCTTGTGACTCCCAAGTCCTCCTGAGTCCTCTGGCTTCTAATTCTGTCCTTGTAACCATTTCCTCCATTCATAATATTCTCAGGCATTTAGCCAGAGGATTTTTAAGCTGACAGTGCCAAGCCCCCTTTAATACAACATTAAGTGCAACTGCATTTGAGCTGTGCTAGTCTCAGTAGTCTTTACATGGAAGGTTAGGGGTTATGGTGTCCTATATGTTCTAGGCTACATTTTAGGTGTCCTCAGTTTGCTTTTTTGGCTGGAGTGGCATGAGGGGGCAAGGAGGAGGCACAGGGGGCCAGAGTCTTTTGTAAGAACAATGTGGATCATCTCTTCCCCGAAACCTCCTTTTCTTCAGATGACCTGAACATTGGCGGTATTATTGGTGGGGTTCTGGTTGTCCTTGCTGTACTGGCCCTGATTACTTTGGGCATCTGCTGTGCCTACAGACGTGGCTACTTCATCAACAATAAACAGGATGGAGAAAGGTGAGCCTGTTTTCTGTGATAAAAAGCACAGTTCAAGCTGGCGTCGATATAACCACGGTACTGAACTGTCCTCTTTTCCTATTCACAGTTACAAGAACCCAGGGAAGCCAGATGGAGTTAACTATATCAGGACAGATGAAGAGGTAATCATTTAGGAAACCTGGAAATCTAGGTGTATCCAGCAAAGAAAATGACATTTCTCTGTGGAAACCAAGGGGCTCCAGTAATGAGATGTGAGTGACAGTGCAGACCCTGAGCGTTCAGCCTGCGACAGTAGTGCGCACACACTCGTGGCATCTGTGCTTTGCAAGTGCTAGCAGATGTTAGTTTAAGAGTGATTATTTCATTTGTAGTTTTGCCCTATTTTTCTCATCAGGGACAATGGTTAGCCCATGTTAGATCTGACTAGTGTTTTCCTTTCTCACTGCCCCACTTGGCCCCTTGATGGTTCTAACTTTGTGTTGGCTTTGCAGGGCGACTTCAGACACAAGTCGTCATTTGTGATCTGAGACTGGCGGTGTGGCCGAGAGAGAACATGCAAATACCTCTGCTAGAAACTCCTGCCAAGGGCCGCCATGAGCCGGGTGCGCTTGGACAGAGCTAGACACTCATGCAGAAGCTTTTTGTTTTGGGCAAAGTTGACCACTATTCCTTTCTTACTCTTTAACAAGCCACATGAATAAAAGAATTTTCCTCAAGATGGACACAGTAACCATAAGGAAAAGAAACTGAAAGTGTTCACTGAGTTGGATTCCCGGTCTGTTGGTGGCCTGGTTCCCACATAAGTATTTGGGTGATCTTATAGATCTTGTTCACATAAACTCTCCTGTGCTGGGCGCTGTGGACCCGTGAAGCCAATTTGTCCGCCACTGATCGTTCACCGGCCAGGATGAGCACGGTGTGAGGCGGCGCGGTAGCAGTGTAGCCCCAGCAGTGTGAATTACAGCATGAGACCTGGTAGCCACAGAGTTTGCATCAAGGAATCCAGAAAAGGCTTTTTACACAATGACCTTGTTCCACTAGCCCACAGACCTCACTGCAGTTCCTTCTTCCAGGCTCTGTTGATGAGTGTTGTCGTGCCCATGCTGGGGAATCTTTCTGGATCAGCATTTTATTAAAAAACAACCAAAATCAGGAAGGTGAATTGCTTGCTGGAAGAGGGATCTTCTTACCTGAGGAACCCTGCTTGTCCAAGAGGGTATCAGGATTTAAGGAAAACCTTTATCTTAGGCTAAGTCAGAAATGGTACTGAAATATGCTTTTCTATGGGGTGGTGTTTATTTTATAAAATTTTACATTCTAAATTTTTGCTAAGGATGTATTTTCATTACTGAAAAGAAAATTTCTATTTAAACTGTAAATAGATTGTCATATAATGTTAAATAACATATTTTTTTAAAAAAGTACAACTTACGGTAAAAGTTCCAAGCTACTAGTGTTAAATTGGCAAATATCAGTAATTAAGAATATTTTACCCAATGGAGGCTTACTGGAACATTCCTTTTTCCACGTAAGTTTTAGCATTTTTCACAAGAGAACTTAATGCTGTCTATACATCAGACCATTATTGCTTAGGAAACCTTCAAAAATTCCAGTTGAGCAATGTTAAAATGTTTGCATCTCTCCAAAAGAAACCCAAGTAGCTCTCAGGTTACCTTTGAACTGCCTTTTCCTGAGACTACCAAAATTACCTATGTCCAGAGACCATCCAGAAGCCGTTAGACATACACACACAAACCACGTCAGTCAACTCCTGGGGTCGCGTCAGTGCCACCAAGCCAGATCAGTACTGCTGCCTAACTTCCAAGTGCTGAGTAGAATACCCACTGCCACCTTGAAAGCCTCGACTATGGCTTTGTGTCCTGATTAGCTTTAATATAAGGGTTGTTCAAGTGCCCTGAGGCACTTGGTTCATTCCAGGACAGTTCTAAGGTGGACACTTTAGAAAAGTTGGTGTCTTCCATGTAGCATCCCAACCTTTGGGTTCTTGTGACAGACCTCTTTTTGGTTGTGGATGGCTCACAAAACAAAGCAGCTACTGCTGTTTGTTTTTAAAGTTCATTTTAATGATTTGTGTAGTTCTTTAGTACCGTCTAAGGCAATTTTGTAATAAAATCTGTCAACTACAATACTTTTAAAAGAAAATGAATCCCACTGTTCCTCTTTGCCATGCAGAAAGCACTCAGCACCACAGGTTCTAACATCTCCTTCCTAACACACCGTCCTGTGGTGGCCAGGCTGGCCTTTTGGAGAGTGTCAGGTAGTACAGCCTGATGGGAGGGAAGGAAAATGCCTGATCAAAAGCAGGTTTCTCATTTTGATTTTAAGTTAAGTTTTTCATCTACCTGACACACTGCTCCCTTTGTGGGGGGCATTAGAAACATCATCCAGAAGCCTTTGTTCTTCAAGAGCAGATGTCCTCAGCCCCAAATACACTGCTGTGTTGGACCCATGACGTGACCCGGTTTGAAGCAAGGAGCTTCTCAGGAGCACCTCGTTCCGCCGCGTGCCTGAAGGATGGTTTTCATGTAGGAGATCCTGGTCACTTTGTGATTCAGCTCTCAGTGTCTTAATTTTTTATACTTTGACAGTTTTTTTAAATTGAATACTTGAGATTATGTTGACTTTTCTTTTTTAAGTTATGTGAAATACTTTGCTATGGGATATTTGGCAGAGCAGTAGGCATCTCTTCAGCAGTTGCTCAGTGCTACCTGTCTGCTTTTGCATTGGCATCTCGAATGCTTAGAATTAAGCTTTCCCTTCATCTTTTCCTCTTGGTAGAAAGGGTAGCTCCCCAATCTAACTGTGGGGGACTAACACTCCAGCCTCCTTGGTTGTCATAGTGATAGGGAAGCCTTATCCCCTCCCTTTCTCATATCCTAAAACCTTTTACCCTCGTGCCATGGGAACTGGGTGTGATGAAGTAGAGATAAGTGAAAAGTGGAGTCTGGGAAGCAGTTGCCTACGACTGTTAAGACTGCAGAAGGAAAGGAATGGTCATGTATCGGAAGGAGTGACTGTCACTAAAGACTCAAGAGGCCTGTATGAGGCTGTGACTCTGCCTTTGTTATTGACGCTGCTGTACATAGATGTTACAGACTTGTACTAACACACCTGTAATTCGGTATTTGTTAAACCTCATTTATAAAAGCTTTTAAAAATATGTCAAACTTCGTTTCATTCTTTCTTTCTTGTTTGCTTTCGTGTTGGGTTTACCTTTTCTTCCTAGCGTTTTGTTAGTTAGGCACATATACTGAAAACACTATAGTCCCACCACTGTCCGCCAGAGAAATCACCTGGACTGGTGGTCAGTCTGTTCACTCAAGAGCAGCTTTGTGGCTTGCTGTACCAATGACCAGTCCACCTGTGTCACGGTTCACGTATGAGAGCGCTGTGGGAGGAACACGATGGCACCGGTCCCCCAAAACTACTACCATGCTTATATTAAAAACACAGCTAAGCAGTAACTTTGTACTTTTGCTTCTGTAATACTGGGATTAACAAATGAACCAATTGCATTTATTTCTGGACATTCTTGGATAGTGTTTCAAGTTTCCCTGATGGTGCCAACAGAAGAGACTCAAGTTATTCCTCCACTGGGATAGCAGTCCTTGGCAGAGTGTTACACAGATCGGCAGCAGTGCACTCTGGAGAAGGGACACAAAGCCGTTCTTTCATAAGCAGGAACCATATCTGTGTACTAACAAGGATGTCTGTCACTGGGAGGCAGACAGCTTCTGTACAGGAGCAGAGGCAGGTGGGTGGATGAACCAAACCTTAAAGATAAGTGGAACCATTTTTTCCCTAACAGGAATGATTTGGTTTCATTCTTAAGTACTTTATATAAAATTAAAATGACTACCAGTAAAAGCCCTGTTCTAAAAACAGAAAAATCCTATTGAATACTGGAAGGCTGTATTTGTGCTAAATCTTTATTATTTCATTTTAGAAAGCTTTACACTTTAAAAAAAAACTGTAATTATAAATAATACAAAAAATATTATCATCAAAATTTTATCATTAGATATGGGAAAATATGTACTATAAGGAATTCAGACACGCTAATAGAGGCTTGATTTATAAAAGAAAGCTGAAGTTTTTAAGTTATGTTCCTTAAAGACCAGATAATAGCTTATCCGAATGGACATGGACGCTTTCAAATGGAATAACGTTATAACATTAAATAGCTTAAGTTTAGGATAGAAAATCTAAATCTGGCATTTCTCTATTATTTTACAATTTTAACCACAGACGTCATGAAGGGCAGTTAAAAGGCTGGCCAGCTGCGAGGAGATGAACAGCTGGAGCGCTGGGGTCCCGAGGGGCTTGGCTGTTCCATGATGAAGCGTCACTCCAGGCGTACGGAAAGGGATCCGTCAGCCTTTCCACGTGCAGGAAACAACAGTGTCTCCTCAAGGGCTCTTGCTGTCCTGGACACTCCCTGGAATGCACCGTTTCAGTTGGCTGTCTTCAGAGGGGTCTTTCGGAGGGACCTCCTGCTGGGGTTTGGGGTGTTTTTATTCCTGGCTGGAGACTTCACATTCCACTGCTGGGGCTGTGGAGGCCTAGGAAACACAAGGTATAGTCATTCTGGAACTAAAAAAAAACCGTGACAAAAATGTCACCTCAAAAGGAACTCTTCAGTAAACTTACGGTTTATCAGGCAACGATAAACATAAAATGTCATTTCCTTGACTCTGGACTTCAATTTTCTCTGGAAGGGAGTCAAACACAAATTCAGTATTTCCAGCACTTCAAAGGCAGCTAACTATCAGTCTAGAAGGAAACCGAGAACTTGCCTTTGACTGAAGGAGTCCGTGGGGTCCCTATGTAACTGACCCCTGCTCCAAAGGTGACGTCATTGATGGTCTCTGGGTAAAGGGGAAACACCAGTGTTAGTTAAAAGCTGGTACGAAACAGCCATCAAGAGGTTTCTGTCCTACTTGTCACCTCGACCTTGGCCCAGGGCCTGACACTGTTGAAGGCTCCTTCCTCCTGTAAACTCTCCTTCAGGTCTCTCCCGACTTCCTTTCTCTCGGCATGGCCCTCGCGCGGCTGCTCCGCCGGCCCCTCATCAGTCACTGCTCGCCGTCTCTGGCTTCTCCCCACCCCCGTGTCGTCTGTGACTGCCCACATGCCAGTGGCTGTCACCTCCAGCTCATACCTCCCTCCTGCGCCCCAGTTCTCCTTCCTACTGTGCCTCACCTGGCTCTCCTGAAGACACTTCACCAGCTCATTCATTACCTCCACCCCACGACATGTTCCTCCTATATTCCTGGCCAATAAATGGTCCCGTCCCAGCTAGAAATACAGCATCGTGGGCTTCTCCACATGGAATCCGTAACCAAGTCCTGTCATTCTACCTTCCAAGTGTCTGTTCATCCCGGTTCCCTGTCGCCCTGCCTCTACCCCCAGCCCTTGAACTCCTGAGGTGCCGTCCTCCCAGGGCCTCCCCTTCCAGTGCACCCTCAAGGCAGGAGAGCAAGTGTCAGGACCGCAGACTGCCGAGCAGACGCGCCGTGAACTGTGGCTCTGTGTCTTAGCAGTTGTGTGAACTTCTCTAACAACCTCAATTCCTCACCTCGTAAATGGGGATACAAATGTACCTACCTCACAGGGACGTTGTCAGAATTGAATGACATTATTTATGTAAAGTGTTTAACATTAATTAACTGCCATGAGAGTTGTATTTAACTCACTCTAATTTTTTTTTTTTTTTTTGAGACAGAGTCTCACTCTTTTGCCCAGGCTAGAGTGAGTGCCGTGGCATCAGCCTAGCTCACAGCAACCTCAAACTCCTGGGCTCAAGCGATCCTTCTGCCTCAGCCTCCCGAGTAGCTGGGACTACAGGCATGCGCCACCATGCCCCGCTAATTTTTTTTCTATATATTTTCAGTTGTCCGATTAATTTCTTTCTTTTTTAATAGAGACGGGGTCTCGCTCTTGCTCAGGCTGGTTTTGAACTCCTGAGCTCAAGCAATCCACCCGCCTCGGCCTCCCAGAGTGCTAGGATTACAGGCGTGAGCCACCGCGCCCGGCCTAACTCACTCTAATTTTGACCCTGGGGATGCATGAAGCATATACAAAATCTTGTTGATGTTCTTCTTGTTAAAATTGACAATTTAATTCTTAAAACATGGATTAAATGAATAGAAGTCGATAAATTTTGTTTTTCTATTTATGTTTACCTTTAAATTACGCTCAAAAGGTTTTATTCTATTTTCATTATAAAACACTGTGGCCCCAAGAAAAACTTCTGATTTTTCTGTGTGGCAGTCAACGTGTTAACACAATATCTGGCATAGCTAAGTGCTGAAGAAATGTTGGCAACTACTGTGATTTAACAGCTACTATCCCCTACGTCACTGGAATTATGTTTAATTAAGAAGCTGGTAAAGTTACTGCCCTGCTTAGACACTCTGATAGCTCCATGTTCAGGAAAGCCTAAAATCCACCCTCGACCTGAGCTGGCCTCAAGCTGACTTTACAGAGTCACTTGATGTGCAGGCTCCCGCGCGCGCGCATGCGCACACACACACACACACACACACACACACACGTGCGTGTGCACAAAGACTCTCACACTGAGCTGGCCGCAAGGTAACTTTACAGACTCACTTGACATACACATACACACACACACACACACACGCCAGCTATGGTCCACCCATGCTCACCCGTCCGAGTTGCTAAGCAGCCTGTGTCTGCACACTCAGCTTCTCTGCCTCCCCCCATCTGACTTCAGCACACCACCCCGTCTTTGAGAGACCCGGACGGTGCAGCCCTGCCCCTGTGGTGCTGTATGTTTGTATAAGCTCCCATCTCAGGAACAAAGCACATGCCCACTGAGCCTGCTGTCCTTTCTGCAAGCACATTTGTGAAGTAAGCTTCAGAGTTCTTCCTATTCTCTGCATACTTTATCTTCCTATGAGAACAGACTGTATCCTTCTAGTCTACATTTTAAAGCTCATCAGTGCACTGCAGCGCTATGTACCTGATGGCTACTCAAGCTTCCTTATTAGACTGGTGGAGAACTCTATCCTCATCACTGCCATGAAGACAGCTCGGTCTGCTTATTCCTCTTTCTGGGAGGTCTTGCCTTATGCTGTCGTTAGAAATTCCCTTTCCTTGCAAACACATTGCTTTTCCTGTTTGGAAGCCTGTGTGCACTCCAGGTAGTAAGTCTCCCACCTTTACAAAAGTCCCTGTGTGGTGGCTCTTAAATTCCTAATGCACTGTGCTTAGACTCAAAGGCAGAAGCATCTTTACTGCCTGAATTGCAGCAGTAAGAGAGACTTGCTAAACGCTCCCAAAGACTTTCAGTTAAAATCCTAGGCTTTTTAACTCATTTCCACTTAGCAAAACCACTTTGTTTGTGTTGAATACCTCTGGTGTGCTGCAATATTGAGCCGGGTGGCATTTCTCCTGCTAGCTTTGAAGAGCTGAGACACTTCCTGACAGTCACCCCCACTTAAACTTAGAGTTGTCAAAAGAATCTGTATTTATAAACTACAGAGAAAACAGAACTAAGTGCTTTTAACTTGTCTAGTAATTCTTCCAAGGAGAGCTAATAAGAGACCCTTCTTCAAGCATTTCTTCCTGGTTCAGCATAAAGAGAGATGGCCGGAAATTGCATCAATAGGACTACTACCCTCGAGGCTAGAGAAAGAACAAGTACTGCAGGATCCGATGGCACCTGAGAGTCTTATGTTCAGTGCAAAGGTAGCTCCGCACATGCAAACGAGAGCAGCATTAACACGCCTCGCCCGGTCCTGCCGCTGAGGAACACAGGCTGCTAGGGACCAGCCACGGACTGAAATGAGGGACTCAGGGCAAAACTTGAGTGAGATGCACTCTCCCCGTTTCTTCAGCATCTATGGTACCAGCTGCCAAAACAGAAGCACTTGGTACTCCTGAGCCAGGGACGCAGAACAGACAGCAAACTCTTCTGTTTGAAAGAGGCTGCCGTTTTTACACACACAACATTGCATCTCTTCAATATATACGTACCCAAAATTACCCACTGCCTTTAATGACATAAGCTGTCATGATTTAGTTGTCATCTGAGGAGAGGTGGGTTGGGATAATGTCCTGGATGAAAATTATCTATAATCCATTAAATGTTTGCTAAGACCACAGCGTCACAGGTAAAGAACCAACAGCAGCAGCTAGAACACAGTAGGGACTCAAATACAGGAACTGCGTAAGATGTGAATGAATGAACGATGTGCTCCCTTGCTACCTGTTCCCATCTCCTTATGCCCAAAATCAGGATCGGAGGGAGGCTGGGACGGGGCACAGAAGTGGGACCAGGAGGCCTGAGCCCCCAGCTCTGCCGTCCAGCTGACCACTGAACAGTTCCAGGCACTGGGGTAGGCCCTGTGAGACGTGAAATGGCTTAAAACGAATAGGCAGGGTGGACGATGAACACAGGAGTATGGGGAGTGTCATGAGAAGGTCAGTGCCACGGGAGGGGCGCCTGCTCTGGCCTGGAGGTCAGGGAGGGGGCAATCCAGACGGGACACGGCGTGTGAAGGCCGTCAGGGAGGAGTGTGCCCTGCTGCCGGCACTCCAGGAGGACTAGGACACGGCTGGGGTGGGGAGAGTACGGTGCACGCAGGATGCACCAGGCAGGGCCGTGGAAACGACACTGCAGATCTGGACAGTAGGAATTTCTTTTTTTTTTTTTTAAGGGATGGGGTCTACATTTCCCAGGCTATCCTTGAAGTCCCGGTCTCAAGAGATCCTCCCACTTCAGCCTCCCTAGCAGCTGGGACCACAGGCACATGCCAGCATGCCCAGCTAAGAGTTTCTTCGTACTATCATTTTCTCAAAATAATGGTTTTTATGGGGCTTGAGACAAGAAGCAGCTATATAACAAAATATGGGAAAAAACATTCTACTTGTCTAACTCATCTACACTTTGAAATGCAGGTGCCGGTGCTGCCATCTGCCCGCTGCCCAGGGCAGACCTGGCTCGGCAGCACCAAGTGCACCTGCACAGCAGGGGACGCCAAGGAGGGCTGCCTCCAGAAGGGCACCGTCAGGTTGGTAACCTAACTTCTTTGCACCTGGGCATCACCACCTGCCATGTGAGGGTCCCTCACAGGTCACCGTGAAGTTTAGCAGTGCTTGACATGCAACGAATGCTCAGTTAATCATTCAGTCTCAATAACTCGCTATAATGTTGTTGACCAACAGGAGTGCCTTCAGCCAAGTATTTAACAGAAGAACTACCTTACAGTAGGAAAGAGTTTTACTACAACTCTAGCAAATAAATAATGACTGTAGGGGAGACCTAGGAGAAGCCAACTTACTCAAGCTGGTTACTTACTCTCAGGGGTGCTGATTGCCCGTTTAGTTACATGGTCAATAGCTCCATTGGACTCTTGCTCCAAGCTGTATGAAGATGCTAGGATAAAACAAAAAAAGTTTTATCTGTCCAAAAAAACTCAAAACAATTATCAAAGAACAAAGCAACCAAATTAAAAAACACATTTGCAAGATATATGATAAAGTTAAAAATCCCAATATTTAAAGTATTCATATAAAAAGGCAATTCAGAAAGAAATACAAATAAATGAAAATTTGAGGGGAAAAAAAGTCCATTCTTATTAGGATTAAAAAAAAAATGGAAATTAAAACCATACCATTTTTGGTCTAGAAAGCTCAGCAAAGACAATGGGAAATCATAAAACCAGTGTTTCTAGGTAGGAAAATGGACGCTCCTGTAAGAGGATAATTTGGCACAAGTTATGGAGGACAGTCTGACACTATCAAAGTTTTAAAATATTCATGGCCTTTGCTGGAAATTAATCCTACGGCTTACATACATACAAGGCTATATATATGTACAAGGATGTTTACTGTGGCATTATTTGTATTAAAAAGTTGATCTGTCTCTAGTTTAGGACTTAAAAAAAAAAGCTGAAAAACACCAATGTTTCTAAGAATAGGGTAGCAATAAACATGTATTGGTACTTCCACATATGGAATGCTATAGAGCCACTGGGAGTAAAGTTTTGAAAGAAAATTTCATGGAAAAATTTGCACTATATCTTATTATAAGCGTGTATAGGGAAGCAGGTCATAAAACAATGCACACTAAGATCACAATTTCGTAAGTGAAACAAAACGTGTGTGTGAGGAGTAGAACACTGGAGGAATGGACACCTCACTGCTGTGTGTCAGTTACATATTTCACTATTTTCCAAATCTTTTAGAATAAATATGCATTGTTTTATTACCCATAATCCTAACTGCCCAATTAATGTTGTTTTCAAGGTAAGAAAATAGAAACCATTTTGAAGGAATGAGAAGCAGGCCTGTTCTGTTTTTTGATCTCTATGTTCTCACTATGTCTGGTGCCAAACTGAAGGCTTACCCTGACTGCACGGTTTTTCCGGGCTTCCAGAAGTCAAAGTGAAAGGCAACACTCCTAAGCTCCGACTCCGGTGCCTGTTATTGGACTCCACAGCTTTCCTGACAGAATTCAGGATTGCGATGGTGCTCAGGGACATGGGCCTGTGGAGGAGAACAGACACCGAGGTTCTCACTGCAGTCCCCGCCCACTTCTGTTCAAGAGCATCCCTCAGCCACCCGCGTTCCAACCTCCCGGGGTAGAATGTGAAGAGAGGGGCAGGGCAGGTACAGTGACGACGCTCTCCCGCTGACACCTGGTTGGGACAGCAGAGCCGCCTCTGAGAACACACAATCAGCCCCCTCCGGGACCCCGTGGCCCTCTACCTGGTTTTGGGCATCAACCTGTTCAATGGCCCTGTTTCAGGCACAGGAGACAGAGTCGGTGCATGGCCAGTGCTTGGCCCAGGTGTTGAGGGCTGCCTCACAGCAGGGGACATGGCGGGATTTTCTTGGCCAGCAGGAACTGGCATTATTTCTAAACGTGGAGCAACCTGTTAGAGAAGATCAACAGAGTTTTACCTTCTAACACATTTTTTAAAGTTTTAAAAAAAACTGATATGTAATAGTTGTACATATTTTGGGGGTACGTGTGATCTTTTGATACATGCCAACAATGTGTAATGATTCAGGATAACTGGGATATCCATCACCTCAAACAAGTATCTTTTCTTTGTGTTGGGGACATTCCAATTCTTCTCTTCTAGCTATTTTGAAATACACAATAAATTAGTGTTAATGATAATCTCCTTACTGTACTATTAAACACTAGAACCTATTCCTTCTACCTCACTGTAGTTTTGTACCCAGTAACCAACTTCTCTTCATTCCCCTCTCCAACCCTTCCCAGCCTCTGGTAACTACCATTCAATTCTCTACTTCCATGAATTCCACTTTTTTAGCTCAGACATATGAGTGACAACATGAAGTATTTATCTTTCTGTGCCTGGCTTATTTCACTTATTGTAACATAATGTCCTCTAGGTTTATCCATGTTGTAGCAAATTTCAGGATTTCTGTTTTTAATGGCTGAATAATAGTCCGCTGCGCGCAGGTAACACACGTTCATCATCCACTCATTTGCGGATGGACATTCAGGGTGATTCTCTCGGTTATTGTGAATAGCGCCGCGATGAACATGCTGGTGCAGGTGTCTCTTTGACATACTGATTTCCTTTCCTCTGCGTATATACCCACAAGTGGGATTGCTGGATCATACGGTAGTTCCGTTTTTAGTTTTTTGAGGAATCTCCATACTTTTCTCCACAGTGGTTGTACTATGTTACATTCCCACCAAAAGTATACAAGTGTTCCCCTTTCTCTGTTTAACACTTTTTTTGGAATGGAACCTTCACATGCTATGAGCAAGTCCATAAATAATCTATTTTAAAACCATACCATCCCTGGGCAAGTAGAACTTCCTCTTCAGAAACAGAGTATTACTAGCAAACTGCCACATGTAGATGTTGTGGCATTAAAGAGAAAAAATAATAAGTTAGTTTGTCCTCATCACTTTTTAATTCAGCAGATCTGTCTGGACTCCTCAGGGCAGTGAGAGCATTATGCTCCTAACCGGAGCAGCAGCTAATCCCAGAAACGCCCCCGGGATGATCTGCTCTAGAGAGGGGCCTGCTGGGAGAAAGACAAGAAACTAAGACACTAGGCAGACCAGTCGCTGTAACCAAAGACCAAATAACCCTACTGCCACCTTGCTTTCTGGTGCTCACACGATTCTCCCAACTATCATTACAATGACCTTCCAGACAAATTCCCATGCCATAGCCTTGTGGGACGGAAGGCCTCGAGCTACTGGTGTATCTATCACTTATAACAAAGACACACGGTAGTGGCTAACAAGCAGTAATCCCAAAGGTCTAGCTCTGACCAACCTCTGATCATATGTGAGTTTTAAGAAATGCTGAACAGACTGACAGCAGAGAGCAGACTGGGAGTCGGGGCAAGCTGAAGCAGGCCTCACAGCTACCTGCACTGCTGGCGCCGCACCGGTGCCCTCCGCCATCCTGCTCACGTCTGCTTGCTTCGCCAGCTCTTGCTCCTGGGCTAGCTGTTCGTTATACTTCTTCATGTCATACTCAAGTTCTGACGCCAGCTGTTTGTCAACTGCAAAGAAATCCTTGACTTCGTCTCGGTAATCCTGCATCACCTCCTGAAACAGACCCAGAAGCATCCTTTAATGTTTTCTTGAATAAAAACATAAGGTCTCCAACATGACTTGATAAATAATAATAAGAACAATTACAAGTAATTATTATTATAAACAGTTGTTTATAATTGTTTATAATTACTGTTCTCCATAGTGGCTGTACTACCTTACATTCCCGGCAACAATGTACAAGCGTTCCCCTTTTTCCATTTAACATTTTTTTTGGAATGGAATCTTCCAAAAAGCAAGTGAAGATTTACATTACTGAAAGCAAACTATTTCCATTAACACTAGCTAACGGGTATAATGGAATAGTCCGAGGAAACACCAACCATACTTATGAAGACCACAGAAGCATGTGAACATGATGGGAGATATTAACCAACAGTTCTGATCTCTTGGGAAGCTTCTATCTGCCAGTTAGCAGGAAATCTCCAAGGTTTCTGATGTGAGAAAGAGAGTCCTGGCCCAGGCAGGGCCTCTGGAGCACGTCCCAGGAAGCAGTGCAGTCTAAAAGCTGCTCCTCTGCCTACATTAGCTTTCCCCATAGCCTCACAGGGGATGAAAACTAAGGCTCTAATCCCATTTTTTGTGGCCTCTTCTGAAGATTTTCTAGAAAATCTTTTATCATATGTGGGTAAGAACATTCTTAGGTCTTAAAGAGGTCTACTAGGGACAAGGCCACTTTGCTAAAAGAAACCATTTCATCTAACAGTATTAGAGGGAGAAAATATCTATTGCAGCTCTAACCAGGAGGGGAGTCCCAACAAAGAGAAGGAAATCCATCATCTCTCCAGCTGCCACTCAGAGTGGGCTCCACAGGCTAAAGAAGAGAATCACTGTACTATCAGGCGACTGTGTGGCCATCCTGTGAGCATGTGCCCAGAAACAAGAGACACACTTCTTTTTCTTGAATGTTTAAGCAGTCTATTTGGGATCCAAGCTCTTTCTTTTTCCTTTTTGAGGTCTAAAACAGGCCAACAGAAATATAAGAATAATCGGAAGTTCTTATTTTTGCCATACAATGCATGCTTCTTTCCCACCTTAGCTTCTTTGGATAAAAAGCTACTTGAAAAACTATATTCAATAATTTCATTTAGCCTTTTTTGGAAAAAAAATTCATAGTATTTTTTGAGGAAGAAAAACACATAATGTGAACAGAGAAATAACTCTGTTGAATTAAATGAAAAAAATGTTGCATTTATTTCTGAGTAGCAGATTTTGCAGAATGGCCCGAGGCCTCACTTGGTTCTGCACTGCAAGTCAACACATCTTGGCTTTGCCCAGACTGGGCCTTCTCAAGGTGCCCCTGCTGCACAAACAGTGAAGCCAGGTGTGGTAGCCCCTGAGGGAGTCGCTACAGGGCATCTATTATATTGCCTGACTTGTCAATCTGAGACGGTGTTAGAGGTGAACACCCCGAAATTAAATATGATGACCAACTTGCACTTTACCCCTCCCCAGGCTGAACTACAATGATGACTTTGTTCTGACCCCAGCTGAGAAGATCTTCAAAATGGAATCTAATCCCACCAAGGATGTGCCTGGCTCAGCACGGTGGGTCAGCTCTTCAGAAGCCCAGCTGCGTGGAAAAGGGCAGGGGTGACTTCAGTGGAACCCACAGTCAAACTCTCCATCTTCCCCACCACAGCCACAGGCCTGCCCGGCAAGTGTCTCTCTACACAAACCGGGGTAATATTGGTTTTGCAGCATTTGGAGTTATCATTCACTAACTGAACCATCACAACTGGCAGAAGATCCTCAGCGGTGAGCTGCAGGGGGACAATGACCCCAAAAGCACAAACTCATCCTTACCCTGAGATAGTTCATGAGTTCCCGCAAGGCTGGGATCTTATTTTTCTCCAGCGCAGTCTTCAGGGAGATGATAATTGGAATAATATTTTCTATGAAATTCCTCTTCTGAACCTGCAGTAACACAAACAAAGGCATGCCTTAGATGTATAAACTTCTGGAAGGCAAAGGCTTTTCCTTGATCTAGTTCTTTTAGTAGAGCCGATCTAGCATACTATGTTAAGTTTATATTTTACTTTTGATTATGATACTGGGAATGTATAAGACCCCCTGCTTTTTTCCTGGAGACTTTATAAGCATTACCTCAAAACACTCAGAAGGCTTTGTAAAGTAGGGCAGGATAAATACTAGTCATATTTTCCAACTGAGCAAAAGGAATTAGAAATATGTTAAGTAACCTGGCAAAAAGCTCTAAATCTCCACACAAACCCCTCATGAGCCTGGGTTCATGCTCCACATTCAGTCCCTCCATTTGACATCCTCCCTTTTGGAATGAAAACCAGGTCACACCGGCTGCCCAGAGAGACATTCTGTATTCCTGCTGGTGAAGGGACAGTGGTCTAACAATGGTTGGGCATGAAGACAGCCAGCTTTGTTTCTCTCTCTCTTTCTTATCTGTATGTGTAACTTCGCACATATTTAGGAAGTTCTACATATTTACATAGTACCTAAATTTGACTAAGTCTTCAAAATCTTTACCTTGAATGATCACTAACCACAAATATTTTGCAATAAATCTCTTAGAATTAAAAATAGTTCATTATAGTAGCCCATATATGCAAGTTTTATCCTTCTGAAGCTGAAAGTACTCTTTCTTCTCATTTAAAATCACATGTATGTTTCTTTCTTGTAAACCATTCATTTCTAAAAAGTCTTATCAGAGTTCCTGAAACAGGAGGGCAATATGTAGAGAGATGAACAATTTAATAAAACTGAACCTGAGCAGTTGGTAGTTTAGTTTAGTCTTAAAAAGTGGTTTAAATGTGTTCACTCAAGTATTATCAAGCACCTTCTCTGTTCCAGGCACAGAGCGATCCTCCAGGGATTCAGAAATGAAGCCAAGAATCCCTGCCCTCCGGCTGCTCCTACGCCAGTGCACGTCTGTCACGGTGAAGGGCATGAGGTGACGAGTGGCAGGGTGCTGGGGGTGTAAGTGTGAAGGTGGGATGCCTGGGAAGGCGTGCGCATCGGAGAAGATGACACTGAGGGTGTGTGGGGATGAGGCGGGCAGGAGGAGCAGTGCACGGCGGCCTGGAATGGAGGCCAGGAGCAGGACGGAGGGAGGGCTGGAGGGCTGGAAGGAACACCAGGAGTTCTGTGTGCCCTTGAAGAAGAATCAGGGTTTTATGCACAAGACAACAGGAAGCCACCAACATAGTTTTAAAAGATATCACCAGTGAGGCATAACTTACATACCATGAATTTTCTCATTCATTTTAAGTGAACAGTTTCATGAGCTTTGTCAAAAGTCTGCACTGAGTAACCAGCAGCACAGACTCACGATCCATGACCCCAAAGTTCCCACTGCCCCTTGCAGTTGACAAGCCTCTAGTCTATTTTAAGTAGGAGAATAAAATGATCAAATCTGGACTTAAGAAAGTCCCAGCTACTCGGGAGGCTGAGGCAGAAGGATCGCTTGAGCCCAGGAGTGTGAGGTTGCTCTGTGAGCTAGGCTGACGCCATGGCACTCACTCTAGCCCAGGCAAAAGAGTGAGACTCTGTCTCAAAAAAAAAAAAAAAAAAAAAAAGACCTTTCTGGCCGCAAGGTGGTGCATGGCCTGCAACGGAAACAAACTAGAAATACGGTGCTAAGAAAACTACTGGAAATGGCACAGGCTCAAGTCAAGTCAGAACCACAGAGACAGATCTGTAAGATAAAAACAGGCAGGATCTCTTAGCAAAGTGGATGTGATCAAAGTCTACTTCTTTGGGGTCAAAAGCCTTCAGGGGTCAGGTGGGAAATACAAGTCGGTGATCCAGGCCAGGCACGAGACACTGGGCCTGGTGAGGACTATGGCAACTGAGCTCCCCTCAAAGCCGTTCGGTTCAAAGAGAGCACGGGCTTGGCAAGCTGGACTCCACTCTGCAGTGGCACCGGGCTCCCTTCTGGATAACTTGGTAGACAATGGTTCCCTTCTCCACCCCCAACTGTGGGAAAAGGAACAGACGAACAGCAGAATGAAAGGAGGACTGATTCAGTTTTGACAGAGTAAGTCTGCAGCGCTTGTGGCACATCCAGGCAGTGAGCGGAACTGGGATCAGGCTCAGAGAGAAGGTGGGGCTGGAAACGCAGATTTGAGAATCATCACCACCTGGGCAAGAGTTAAGGCCACCGGCAAGAATGAAATCAGGATCCTGGGTATACCACCAAGATTTTGGGGGCAGATGGGAAGCACAGGGGTGCGAGCAGGCCTGTTTAGGGAAGAACAGCACACTTACTTGTGAGATGAGCTGCTTCTGGGCTTCCTGCATGACTACATTTGCCAAGGCCATGTCATCTTCTTCCACAAGGAGGTCCTTATCCGGTTTAGATCTCATTGCCAAAAGCTTGATCTCCTTTGAGCTGAGGACCTCAAACGTGTCTGAGAGTAACTCACTGGCTTCCAGGTCCAGGGGCAGGATGCCGTCGGCGAAGCACGCTGGGAGAAAGCGTACAAGACCATCTTCTGAGAAACGCTCCAGTCCACGGGGAAGGTGCAATTCACAGACCCAGGGCCACTGGGGGCTGCCACGGGGTTGCCTGGGTATAGCCCATACCAAACAAGGACAAGATGACAGAGGTCTTCCTGTCACTTGCTACAGACCTGCTGGGCCATTATCAACACAGGACTGCATTTTTAAACACATGTTTTATCCCGAACACACCAAGCCTACCCAAAATACTAAGGCAGATTTTGGAAGTGATATTGAATCGCTGTTCATCTGTGAAGTGCTCTAGAAGAAATTTGTAGATTTTCATTCGTCTCTCCTTGTTTGACTTTCCCTTCAGTGAAAACAGCCGCTTCTCTCTGTGGCACAACAGGACAATTTTACTGCGTCACGTGGGCATGGGTGACAAGGACTTAATACAGCATTTTAACAGCATCCTAAAAGCCACATGCCAAAGGCTCGAGCCCACTGCTGAGATCCCAGCGTTCGTCACAGACACTCCCTTAGGAATCTATCCTCAGGAGTGCACTTTCTTACATCGTCCTGCCAAGGAAAATAACGACCACCACAGTGAACACCTGGGTCGGGTCTGCGTCCAACCACTGTGTACAAAACAGCCAGACCCCTCCCGAGGCGCCCCGGCTCTTACCGAGAGACAAGGAGACCACCTCGGCGGCTTCACTGACCTCTCTGACTGGGGGAACTTGTTATACTTCTCATGCTTCTCATAGTTATTGAAGTGGAAAATACACTCGATGAAGTGCTGGAAGAACATGACGGGGTTCCTCTTCAGCAACAGATGAGCCAGGCAAAACTCCCCAAAGCTGTAAGGAAGGAGAAACAAAAGAAAGAGTCCCATTTGCTATTCGCCAACAGCTTCTGAATACACCAAGAACTCTGCCAAGCAGAAGAAAGCTGTACGTAACAGTGATGGACCCTAAGTCTGTCCCAACAAGCAGCTTCATCAGATCAGACGCAAGAGAGTTTAGCTTATTTGGTCTGTCCTCACTCCCCAGCTTCCTTCTGAATCCAAGGTTAGTATGAAGCTTTCTCTACCAAGTTTCCTTTCAAAATTCACGCAAGGTGCTGTTACCCAGCTGTACTTCAAGTGGGGAAAACCAACCAACCACCCCAAACTGCCTTTGCAAGCAGGAGCCAGCGTCCTTAAGGCTGATGCAATGACAGTGGTCACCTGAAAGAAACACCTGGCCTTCATCCCCCCACTTCAAGTTTGCTGTCCACAATAATGAACAAAAACCAATTCTAGGAACTGGAACTGTTTTTCAAGAATAGGATTAACGACAAGAGCCTCACAGTCTGGATCAGCAGGGCAAGCGCCCTCCTCCAAGTAACCGACTCTCAGGGAGCCCGGGGCGCTCTCCTTCCACCGGTGCCTCCAACACATCTGTGCAGTGCCACTCGAGGGACACAGATGCCACCAGCACCCAAGGAAGGTTTCCAAAGCCAAATGTAAATAGACAAAAGCCAAACTGTTCAACTATAGCTACGGGACAGTTTCTGTTTTATCATGAGAGCAGGTGAGAGAATGCGAAAGCGCTGGTTTTTGCTTAGGGGTCAACCTAAGGCAGTGCAGGGCTCACTGTGGTCCACTCATACTGTCGAGACCAAAGTTTTCATTTCGTTTCAGAGCTCAGATGCAATTCCACCTATACAGGAGCACCAGGCAGCTCTCCACAATCCCTGCGGCTTACACGTGGCTTTGGAGCACATCAGGACTTTACGTGAGATTTATGTTCCCCTTCCCCTACTGTTGTGCCTTAGGATAAGATTCAAATCCGTCTGCATTCATAGCATACACAACAATTAAAAGTCAGAGAAGGTAGCTGAGAAATCATGATGGAAGTAAGCCTCGATGAAAATTTCACTGCAGATAATCACACTTGGACTATTCACCTAGGAAATAAGGGGGCAGCCTGACTTATAAATATGAAAACAGAACAAATAAAACTCTATTTAAAAAAATGAAATTCCCTGAGGAAAATTCACTTAAGGCCAGCTAGAAGCACCTGTTTGATCTAAGAGTACTCGGTATATTTTGCACAAACTATGATGTTTAGCAACCCAGGTATGAAAGACAAAGAAGGTCACAGCATCAGATGAAGTTCCTTCTAAACAAGGGTTACTGTGGTAAACTGTGACAAGAATGGAGAAAACCACTAAATAAAAAATATCCCCCAAAGAAACAAACAACAAGGATTCACCTTCTGTGGCATTTTATTACAGTTAACCTACCACAGCACAGCAGTTGCCAAGTCTACCTGAACTTTCTCCTTAGATCTGAAGCCATTTATAGGAAAATGTAAAACCAGATAAAGTCAGTAATTCTTCAGGAAGAGGAGCTGCTTTGAGCGATGACTTGATCTCAGATGCCAGTCTACTAGCTTAGGTCAGGAATCCGCACAGGCAAAGGTGACCAGCCAGCAAAACACTGCAGAGTCTAAGCCCTAGTGAAAAACCGGCTTAACTAACTATACAGATAAATTCAATAGCAACATAAAAACTACGCCAAGGCTGAAAGCAGCGTCACAGAGCTTTCCATCCTGAGAAGCCAGAAGCCACAGTCAAAGCGTAATATCCAGGATTCATCTTTGCTGCTGCATTTATTGGGACTTTATTAAAAAGGCAACTTTCATCCTTGATTAGAATAAGACTCACAGCTCCCACCAGCTTGATAAACTGGGGAAGAGGGACTATTTTGTTTTTTGTTTGTCTGCTGAAAAGTTAAAAGAAATGAACATTCCAGATAATATGTCCTGGAACATCGCTTTGGAGTGACAGAGGTGGCACTCTCCAGGTACTTGGATTAGAAAACCTCAACGCTCTCAAGAAGTCTTGGTAAGTTCATAGCTCAACCAGTATCCTTTCCAACCTCTCCTTTTCCCACAGGACAACTACCAGGAACCACCCAAAACCGCTCCACCAACTCAGGGACACTGTCTAGAGACCTTACAGCATCAACTGCATTATGTGCAAAACAAAGGGAAGACCAGCTCAGTCTGAGTTATTACCTTGTTATAACCGTGTAAAAGGAAATTATCATCCTTACTAAGAACTGAAATCCATTACTCAAACAGCCCAATGAGGCCACAAAGGAAGAGCAGTCAGCTCACTTCCATTTTCAGCTTTAGTAGAAAACATAAAAATCTGACCTCTTTCAGATTTCTTTGCAAGTCAAATGCCATTCGGACGCAGATATCCGTTCAACAAAGTCTGCAGCTAATGAATTCATGTTTCTCGTCTGGCCTACAACATGTCTACTCAGGGTAGGACTGAGGGCTCAGACCCACTTATGCCAGAACTCTGTTTGAGGCTTGAAGCAAGCATTTCCCACATCCAAGCCCCTCGTGTTATCTATCTAGGCTCCCCTCATCTCTATCTCATTCCTACATTGCTGTTTCTTTTCTCCTCATCTGACATCCCATGACTCCGTGCTCTTGCCTTGAACCTTTCTACTGTGTACTCTGCACTCCAGGTTCCATGATGAATCAAGTCCTTACCCTCTGTAAGTGACTCTGAGCACTCACTGTGCTTCCTCTTCATAAATGACAGCTGGCTCACCCCTAAGGACACCATTTCTCTTACGGCCCTGTCAAAGGGAGGCTGCTTCATCTCTCACATCCCACAGAGGATGAGGACCACATTTCACAGTGCCCTCATGTCTTCATTCATTCATTTACCAAATGTTCATTACGTCTGCTTGGTTTCAAGCTCTGTTTCAGGTGCTAGGGATATAGCAGTACACAAAAAGCCTCCGCCCCTCAGGAAGCCCCTATGTAGGGGGCAGATTGATGCTTTATAGACAAGATGAAGTGTGCCCCCAAAAGTGCTCTGAAGAACAAGGAAGCTAGAAAAAGGTACAGGGAAGGGAGGGGAGTCTTGGCCACTGGCTATAGCAGACACACAGACACAGACACACACAATGCTTCCCCCACCTGGTCCAGCCGATGGCCTCCAGCCCTTTCTGCTGGAGCCCCCGTACCTACCTACTGTGCTCCCTACTCTCCTAGTTTTTCACTCCATTCAAAGCCCAGCAGGACTCCATACAGATGAGCTCATGTAACACCCTAACTTTCTATCTTCATTGCCTGCAGTAACCTCACATTCGTTCTCCACATCACCATGCACAGCCATGTCCCGGACCCTGTCAGCACACTGCACATCAGTCCCCACTCATGGGCAGCCTGCTGATCCTTCCAGCTGTCTGACTTCCTCGGCCCCATCCTACTTGTTCCGCAACTCCACTAACTCCTCTAGACAGTTGAGTAACCCCCTTTCCTCCCAAACCAAGCCATCTTTGTCTTTTCTCCCTTTTCTATCTCAACTCAATGGCCCATTATTTGAGTCACTTTTTTGCCTTGACTCTCTCTGCCCTGCCTCCTTGTACCTCTGCAGCATTTGCCCAGTTAAACTAAAACAATCCACTTGTTACTAGCCATTGCTCTGTGACTACCATACTACAAGGCCACCACCTAGTGGGCAGAGGGGAAAATATATCATACAATTTCGTAGCTTTCAAATTTGGGGTTTATCTCACCAATTAAAAATGTCACATAGGCTGGGCGCAGTGGCTCATGCCTGTAATCCTAACACTTTGGGAGGTTGAGGCGGGAGGATTGCTTGCTCATGCCAGAATCTTTAGGAAATCCAGCTGGACCAAAAAAATTCAATAGGTTCCGCCACACTGGTCTCTTGCTAAGATCTGCATTAGCAGAGACGTATGAATAATGTACATTAGGGTATTTAATGTAAACAGATAGGCCTAGCCTTTGGCCTAAAATATTAGAGAGCAAGTCAGACACAGAAAGATAAATACCACCATGCTCTCAATCATATATAGGAGCTAAAAAAAGATGAGGTCATAGAAGTACAGAGTAGAACTGTGGTTATTAGAGGCTCAGAAGGAGAGGGGGAGAGGTTGGTTAAAAGATACAAAATTACAGCTAGATAGAAGGAATAAGTTCTACTGCCCCACAGCACTCTAGGGTAAATATAGTTAATAATTTACTGTATATTTTCAAAAAACTAGGAGAGGATTTTGAATGTCCCACACATAAAGAAATGAAATGTTTGAGGTGATGGATATGCTGATTACCTGATTTCATCATTACAGGTTGCATGTATGTATCAAAATATTACTCTGTATTCCACAGATATGCACAATTATTACATGTCAACTAAAAATAAAAGGAAAAAAGTCAGCTAAAAATCAACTAAAAATAAAAGGAAAAAAATCAAACTGTAATATAAATTACAGTTAGCAAATGCAGTCATCAGCTTTTCCAAGCTGAAAATCATAGTCCACATTTGAACCATGGTTTTAACAAACCCAGAATGCAGAGATAAAATGGAAAGACTTAAGGGGGAAGTATCAAAATGCTAGAAGAGCACTGATAATCTTACTACAATATAAAGTATCTCTTTATCTGCCCATCTAATTTCTTTCTGACTGATGCCCTGACCACCCATGCATGTAGGTTCTGCATATATTTTATGCACTGATTAATGCTCTTTGTAATATACATGTATAGCAGCTAACAAAAGTGAGGGAGAACAAGAAAAATGCAGGTTAAATGACCAATCTTACCCCCCAGGCTCATCATCTGAGCACATTCCAAGCACTTGTCATTATGCTGCTTCTGGGGTATGCATTGTGCAGAGAGGGTCATGAGAGTCAGTACTACCCCGATGCACTGAGAAGGTAAGAGGGTGCTGCATAGCTATCTTGGTTCCTTTCCCAATTATGCAGTGACAGCCTTAGCTGTACGCTTCTGGCTCTAGACAATGTTAATTAGAATGTTAACCTTCTGCTAGTTTGTTACGTGAAATGTTCCTCCTTGGAAAATTATATTCAAAGAAAACTGAGCAGAAATACTTCCACAGAACCCAGACTAAATTACTGGTAGCTATATTAAGAACCACAGGGACCCATTATTATAAGCTATTTATAGTTAATGAACTCTATAAAGACGTTTCCCCCACTGTGGTAGCTTCTGAAATGGCATTCAACATTGTATTTTCCAATGGCAGACTTGCTTTAAAAAGAATTATTCATATAACATAATCTAGGGTAGGAAATTCTATCAGACCATTTCTCAACCCCTTGAAAATAAATATTAAAAAAAATGATACAGGGATAGGAATTAACAATTGCCAAGTGACTCCCCTCCTGTTCGATTTTCAAGAAACACCCATTTCCAAGTAGCCTTGTAATTTGTATATTGATTTCATACTATGCAATTTCATCTTAATTCCTAGAATTTTTGCATTATAATTTCTGCACTTAAAAGAAAGCCTGAACTCTTTATCAAAATTAACATTTATTTGGCTTAGAAATCAACACAGTCAAGTCAGTATTTAGTGGCTACTATTCTATAGTTTAACATGACAAAGACATATACTGTTCTTCATCACTCCTTTAGGAAAAGCAAACAATGTTAGCAAATGCAGTCAATGCTGAGATTATTTAATGATGAATCTGAATTTTTTTTTTTGTAAAACTTGCATACAAAATAAAGCTTTGTTAGATAGCTTAGTATAAAATCTGCTAACTTTTCTGGCAACTACCAAAAGTTCACTAAATCCTAAATAATTTAACTCTAAACCAATTTGATGGAAAAGAAATCTAGCGTATACCAGAAATGAAGCAAACTGTTAGTAGTCTTACACATGAGGAAAAGATTACCTGGCAATGTCTGGGTTTGAATCTATCAGAGTGCTGACAAATCGAAAGAACAGAGAGCCCTTCCATTTCACAAATTCCTCCTGCACAAAGAGAAGCCAGCATTATTTCAAGACGTGTTAATGTACAAGCTTCACTGTACGTAGTCACTCAGCCACCTGTGGATACTCTCTAGTGATGCCACTAGAGATCTACCGTCAGCCCCTGGATCGGGCTCCGGTACACTGGCTCAGCGCGTTGGCTCTCACGTCCTGGCCATCACGAGAGCATGTGCCATTTATTAGTTACAGAGACGTGGAGGAGGATGTGCCTGGAACACACTGGACCTTCTACCATCTTTGGAAGTGACTCAAAGCACATGGCTTTAGAGGGAGAGAGCTACTGGTGCTTCCATAAGGTATGTGATTCATGAAAAGATGAGTGTATGAAACATACCAGGACAGACATACAAATTAAGTATCTTCTTTTTAAAAATCAAATATTATTTTCTCATTATAGGCCAAACATATGCTTTCAGCATATATAAAAATATCTAATGCTCTGTAGAGCTCTACAGTTCCCTAAGCTTTCACGCCCTGAGACATCTCAGTGGACCCTCAGAGCGACGCTGTGACCCAGCCCAGTGCAAACACTAGCACCTCCAGTTCACAAATGAAGAAGTGAAGTCTGAGAAACATGGGCTTGTTCCAGGTCGAGGAGAGTAACAGAAATGGAACTAGGACTAATTGTCATTTCTCCACATGGCATTTATCTGCAAAGACGAAACTTCACACTGCTTGATAGGATATCTAAACAAATACCCGAAATGAATATTCACAAGTAATGATCTGTTTGAAAGGCTGTACTAAACATTAGAAGAGTTATATTCTTAAATCAGAGATGAGACTAATTATTTTTGGATTCTATCATACTACAAAGCAAGCACATTTCCTATGCTACTCAAATATTCCCAAACCAGAAGCAATGGTGGAGGGGAGGAAGGGTCTAATCCTCATACGAACCTGCAAGAGATTGGTAAGCAAGATGAGGGTCTGCTTTCGGATGAACGGATCTGAATCCTTCAGACACATGGAGATGTTGGGAATGTACTTGTCCACCACGACAGTGTAGCGGATGCAAAGATCGCACATCACCACGATGACATTGTTGCGGACAGCCACGTCCTCGCACACCTCGAGCTCTCGCACGAGAGTTGGGATGCTCTTCTTTGCAAGATCCTCATGCTGTAAGCACAGCTTACCTGGCACAAAAGAGAGGAAGACGTCTTGTTTCTATTCTATCCTAACTCCATGCCTAAATTTTTTCCACAGAAATCTTGCTATGGATTTTACTTAATCAAAGTTAAAACATCATGCCCACAATCACAAATAACAAAAAACTAAAAGCAGACAGACTCACCCTAAATATTAGAAAGTTCAAAATACCTTTAGGAAAACTAAACTCCCACAAGGTTTCATGAGATATACACTATGGGATGTTCCTTTACACTAATAAAATCATCTTCCTTTTAAAGTCAATGTTTGCATTTTGTAGTTATCTACTTATCTGGGAAATGACCAACAAATCCTAACAGATGATACATTTTACTTTTGATTATACATGTACTCTATAGAAGCTAAATACCTTGTAATGAATTTGAAATTTGAGCTAGGTAAGTAGGAAAGAATGCTCATCTCATATATTTTATTTCTTATTCACAGTTAGGAGGGCTGCTGAGTTTTATTTGCATGTTTGCTTTGTGGTCTGGAGAATGTTTTGTTCTTATTTGTAGTCTTAGGTATTTGAAAAATAAGCAATATTACAAAAAAAGTTCA